ACTTTCTGTCCTGAACTCCTGCAGCGTTACGTTTTCACTGAGTGAATCATTCAGATGAAAACCAACTGTTTTGATTAGAAATCAGAATAAAGCATGTGAACAAAATAAAACTGGAACAAAACTAATTAGAACTCAGAAAACTAAACTTGATCACATAAAAAACAAATTAAAATACAGAAAAAAATAAACCCAGTTACTTTATTATGTCTAATTTAGAAATAAAGAAGATTTGTTGGTTTTTGATGAAAGTATTTTATAATATTTATCTTTTATTTCTCCTCCTCCAAGCTACAATAAAACAAGCTAACTTTTTTTGTCGTCAGATCTTTGGAAATAAAACTAATTCATCAGGACGGTAAAATACCTGCAGAGTTTTGGCAAAGGACTCATGTATCCTCATCAAGTGATGATAGTTCTTTATTACATCCAAACAAAAGAGTCTAAACTCCCACAACAATGGTTAATTTTCCCCCTCATCATCATCAATAACACCAACAACAGGCTAATGGGGGCTGGTTCATTTAGCTAACAGAGCTGAATGAACTCATTGGTTTCTCTGCTCCGGAGGAGAAAACACATTCATCACCCCGAGAAGAATTTCATAACAACTCGGCGACACGTTCCCAGCAGTGCTAACCATATGTCAGCGTTCAGTCTGCGCTGAAGCACGCACACATTATCCCCTAAACAGAGCCTCCATTCGTCAGAAYGCTGGGGCAATTAATTTAGTTCAACATTTAATTTGAACATAAAAGTCTGGGCTGGTTGAGGTTTCTGTTTGGAAACACACAGATTGTGGTGTTAGAGCCACCAGGAGGGCTCCTGCTTCCATTTGCACCCATTTCATTCATGTTGGGAGAGTTTTTAAACGTCGGAATCATCGGAGAGCAAATCACTTTTTTTTTCGTGTTTGACAAAAGAAGAACAAAGCATCGCCTGCAGGTGCAACAATTAGAAATCATCTTTTTAAATTTTTACCAAATTAATTACAGTTTTTCATCATTTAAAACCAGTTTGCATGAAGGATTTTTGGTTATTTTGTTTCTCTTTTTTGTTGAAATGTACGGAAGCGTGTTGCTATCAGGCAGGAAAAAAATCAGAGCACTATCACGTTAAAACGTGATACGTATCACGTTTTAACAAGATACTATCACGTTTTAACAAGATAACTATCACGTTTTAACAAGATAACTATCACGTTTTAACAAGATAACTATCACGTTTTAACAAGATACGTATCACGTTTTAACAAGATACGTAT